GGAGGAGACGGCGCTGGGGCAGTGCCGGGCACGGCCGTGGGGCCGGAACAACTGCAACCACGAGGAGGACGCCAGCGTGGTGTGCACAGGTAGGGGTTGCGACGGGGCTCCCTGCACGGGTACAGTGTGCACAGGTATAGCCTGACCGTGCAGGTTGGTATGCATGGGTACAACGTGCACAGCCCAGCTGTACAGGTTTGGCGTGCATGGGTACTGTGTGCACAAGCACTGCCTGACCGCATGGGTTTGGCATGTATTGGTACAACATGCACAAGTACAGCCCACACAGGTTTGGTATGCATGGATACAGTGTGCGCAAGTACAGCCCGACTGTATGGGTTTGGCGTGCATGGGTACAGTGTGCACAGGTTGCAGGTGGGTGTGCATGGGTACAACGTGCACATGTACAGACCAGCCTTACCAAGTACAGCCCGACTGTATGGGTGTGCGCAAGTACAGCCTGACTGTATGGGTTTGGCGTGCATGGGTACAGTGTGCACAGGTTGCAGGTGGGTGTGCATGGGTACAACGTGCACATGCACAGCCCAGCCATATAGGTTTGGCATGCATGGGTACAGTGTGCACAAGCACAGCCCGACCGCATGGGTTTGGCATGTATGGGTACAACACGCACAAGTACAGCCCACACAGCTTTGGTATACATGGGTACAGTGTGCACAAGTACAGCCCGACTGTATGGGTTTGGCGTGCATGGGTACAGTTTGTACAAGAACAGCCCAACCATGCAGGTTGGCGTGCATGGGTACAACGTGCACACGTACAACCCGATTACATGGGTTTGGCATGCATGGGTACAGTGTGCACAAGTACAGGTGGCAGAAGTGTTTGTGGATGCAGTGTGCACAAGCAGAGCACAAGTAGGGTAGCATGCACAGCTGTGGCCTGCACAGCTGCAGCGTGTGCAAGTGCAGTATGCACAAGTACAGTGTGCGTGTGCAGGGGGGTCCAGCATGCACAGGTACAGCTCCCACGGGTCCGGTGTGCACAAACACGGCAGGGGTGCGCGTGGTGCTGGCCGGGTGTGTGCAGATGCCCGGGTGCATTATGTGCACGCAGCGATGTTTTGCACAGGAAAGGTGTGCACGGGCATGGTGGGTGCAGGGTATGGGGTGTGCAGGTGCAGCGTACACGACTACCCCCCTGCCATCCATCCCGCGCTACCCCCTGCATCCCGCCGCTTCAACAACCTCACCAGGCACCTCTGTACCCGTTGCCTTCTGCTTTCCTGCACCCACGTGTGGCCCTCTGCCACCTCTGCGGACGGGCACCTCCAAACACCCCCGCGTGCCCGGGGCTGACGCCGGCCTCTCCCCCAGGCGGCCCCATGGTGCGGCTGACGGGCGCCGAGGGCCGCTGCGCCGTGCGCCGGCCGGCGGGAGGTTTTCCACGAGGGCCTCTGGGGCACCGTGTGCGACGACATGTGGGGGCTGCCGGACGCGGCCGTGGTGTGCCGGGAGCTGGGCTGCGGGGCGCCGCTCTCGGCACCCGGAGCGGCCCTTTTCGGGGAGGGCTCCGGCCCCATCTGGCTGGACAACGTGCGGTGCCAAGGGAACGAGTCGGCCCTGCTGCAGTGCCCGGCTGCCCCGTGGGGCGTCACGGACTGCCAGCACCGCGAGGACGCAGCGGTGGTTTGCACAGGTACCCGTGTGCGTGCGCGGGTCGGGAATCGCGTGCGTGTTGTGTCCAGTTCTGGGCTCCACAGTATAAGAGGGATGTGGAGCTGCTGGAGAGAATCCACCGCAGGACTATGAGGATGATGAGGGGCCTGGAACATCTGCCCTGTGAGGAGAGGCTGAGGGAGCTGGGCCTGTTCAGCTGGAGAAGAGAAGGCTGAGAGGGAACCTGAGCAGTGTCTGGCGGTGAGGAGGAGGGTGCTGCCCTGTTTTCACTGGTGGCCACTGACAGAACTAGAGGTAATGGCCACAAACTGAAGCACCACAAGTTCCACAGGAACTTAAGGAAAAATTTCTTGAGAGTGAGGCTGACAGAGCACTGGAACAGGCTGCCCAGAGAGGTTGTAGAGTCTCCTTCTCTGGAGATCTTCAAACCTGCTTGGACGCAGCCCTGTGCCACGTGCTCTAGGTGACCCTGCGTGTGCAGGGGTTGGACTAGATGATCCCTAGAGGTCCCTTCCAACCTTCAGCATTCTATGATTCTATGATTCATGCACGCATAGACTCCCGTGCAGTACGCGCGGGGTGTGCGGTGCCTGCGCAACCTGCGCCTGTCCTTGCACAGCCCTGATCTGTGAGCAGTGCATGCAGTACTTGTGCAGCAGCTTGTGCGTGGGGCAGTGCCCATGCAGTGTCAGAGAGAGGGGTGCGTGGGTCACATTCGTGAGTAGGAAGCCCAGTGCAAGCGCGGGGACACGGAGCTCTTGTGACTGATGTGCAGAGAGCATTAGATTGCGGATCAGGGGTGCAGCTGTGCTGCAAGCAGCAGGATTCAAGCGCAGCGCGTGTGCAGCGCACGGGGACTGCGGCGCTGTGCAGTGTGTGCAGGTTAGGGCTCGCCCTGCTCTCCTGTGCGCACAGGGGAGCTGAGCGCCCTGGACGTGCGGCCTGCAGAGCCCACTCCTCACCAGCCACCAGCGAAGCCACCACCACAGATGCCACCCTCGGCTGTGCCACGCAAGAAGACCCCGCCCCGCGTGCCTG